GTAATCTTCTGGAAATAAAGCAGAGTACTGGAAACACTGCTGTACCCTCTCGTCGTCAAGATTATCATAGCTTAACTTGAGAAGTTTAAAAATCTCCTCTTCAACTTCTGTTGTATACTTAGCCGAATTTGAATTTAGAACCTCAATCGCATGCTGCCACTCGTGCACTGTCGTTTTGCATGCCATAGTTTCGCCAATAACGTTGAGTGCAAGGGGCAAGCCTTTACATTTATCAAAAACTATTCTTGCTAGCTTGAAGATCTCTGGATCACTTGCTAGTGTGTTAGCTCTAACTTTCTGTTGGAATAGTTTCCACGCGTTCTCCGGTCCTAGACACTTGACTTCCATGTCATCAGGTCCCATATGCCCGCAAACATTTCTTGAGCAAGTGGTATATACAACTTTGCTTCTATTTTGTGTAGATGGCAATGGAATTCCAATCTCTTCTAATTCCGCTTTTTCCCATTTGTCATCTAATAACATAACAAATCTTTTCCTCGTAAGGCAGACCTTTATATCAGAGGCTTTCTCCTCTTTGGTCTTTTGCTCCCACTCGCTGCCAGAGAGGCCTAGTCTCTTCCCGATCTCTTTTTGGATCCTTCCAATCTGTAGATCTTGAGTCACCACTACAGATATAACCTCATCAAACTCATCCTTTTTTCAAGGAACTTTTTCTCGATTTGTTTGAGAAGGGTGGTTTTCCCTATCCCACCCATACCATAGAGACCCAAAATTTTAATTTTCTCTTCCATGAGACGTTTCCATGTCGCTTCAAGCATGCTCTCCAAACCGATTGTGGATTGGATGGGCCCCTCCTCCATATCAGGTGGCATACCGGTTATGGATTGGGAGGGCCCCTCTTCCATAGGAGAAGGTAGACCGGTTGTGAATTGGGAGGACCCCTCATCCATATCAGGAGGCCGACCGGTTGTGGATTGATAGGGGTCCTCCTCCATATTAGAAGGCAAACCGATTGTGGAATGGGAAGGCCCTTCCTCCATATCAGAAGGCAGACCGGTTGTGAATTGATAGGGGTCCTCCTCCATATTAGAAGGCAGACCGGTTGTGGATTGGGAGGGCCCCTCCTCCATATCAAAAGGCAGACCGGTTGTGGTTTGGGAAGGCTCATCATCCATATTAGAAGGCACACCAGTTGTGGATTGGGGAGCCTCCCCCCCCCCCCCCATATTAGAAGGCAGACCGGTTGTGGTTTGGGAAGACCCCTCATCCATATTAGAAGGCAGACCGGTTGTGGATTGGGAGGGCCCCTCCTCCATATCGAGAGGCAAACCGGTTGTGGTTTGGGAAGACCCCTTATCCATATCATCAGGAGATAGACCCTCCCAAGCCACCGCTTCAAAAGCTTTCGAAGACAGAAAACCTTTAACTTTCTCCAAATTTCCAGATACCTTTTTTCCATAGTGATAGGTTAATATGAAATCGTTGGAGCAATATCCACACATAGACAATCTTTCAACTTCGACTGTCTTAATATCAAGCAGATCACGAACCTGTGATTGGATAGCTTCGACCCTCAAAAGCCATACCAGAACTTCCTGTAGCCGTTGCAAACCTTTTCGTTCTTCTAACTTAATTCTGTTCTCCAAATCAATCCTCCTTGCTTCGAGAAGTTGCATATTACTCTGCAAAGCCTCAAGATTATTCTCAAGTTCGAGAATATATTTGGCATGTCCAACTAAGAAACTTGTGCAGTAATTTGCACTGCCTGAAATTACATTCCCCATTGTGTGCCAAACGTAACAAAAAATGAAGAGAAGATCAAAATGGGAAGTAAAGAGACACCAAACACAAATGTTAAAACTAAAGAACATAGAGAAGCTGATATTAAAGTAGCAAGCAGGGTTGGTCTTGTTCGAATAATATAAACTTGTCCTTGTCAATCCATTAAATATACTAACAAATTATCACACACGAACAAATTCACAATGTCCTTATTCATCAATTGCTCTCTTCATGACTTTGTCTAGTGTTTCTGTTTATGTTTAGTGTTTCATACTATATTTTACATCGAAAGCTCAAGTTGACCTTAATATTATTAGTGTGAGTGGCTTTTATTTTAATGTTCAAGTTTCTCCTTATTCATCTAGTGGTTGGAACGTTCATTCAATCTACTTTAAGAGGTCTATTTCATTTGTAAATATTATATATCAATCTAGAGTTGTTTATTCTAGCAAGTAGCAGGCAAGTAAAACTAAATCATTTGAAAGAAGAGAACAACTAACCAAAATGAAGTTGCAAGGAGCTCCATCTACAGTGTAAAATGCCTGAAGTCTTTCTCATCAAAATAGAAGCCAAGATATCCAAACACGATCAAGCTCCATATGCAACAAACAACTTTTTCAAGAAAGGAGAAATTGAACTTGATTAGAACCGATCGGACATTCGAATAAGGAAAGTTCTGTCATTTCAAAATAGGCTTCACAGAGAAATAGATAACAAAAGACAGAAAATAGGGTATATCTTCCGGTAAAGCTTTCATTGCGTCATTTCGTCGAGCAGTTGGCGAGCAGTTTTAAAACTAAAATATTAAAACAAAACAACAATGGATTCAGACACACAATCAATCTTCATTAACCAATAATCGATTCAGATACACAATCAATCTTCAATAGGACTCTGTATCTATCATCAGATGATTCCTTGTTGGACCACAACACCCGTCAAATACCAAAACAGGGTCGTAACTGGGAGAAAATTTTGTTTTGGTATTTGAAGATTTTGTGGTCTATCAAGAATGCATCTCACTCTGTAAAAGAAAACCAAAAATCATCAATAAGACTCTGTATATATCATCCATTTGTAAATCTTTCACATATAATTCCACACATCGAAAGTTTTTGGTAGCAAACGTTACGCACAAAAATGGAGATTTTTTGGTTTTCTATCTTGTAAATCAGAATTATAAGCCCAATACGGCCCAATTAATTAAGCCCCATTTACGACGCCGTTTGCTAAAAATTCGACTAATTTTTTTTTCTCCTTCGTCAATCTTCTTTCTTCCTCTCTCTCGATTGAGCAAACCCTAATTTTTTCCCCAAATTGCAGGCCAGTCACTATGAATCTCCCGTCGTCAACGCCGACTCCGACTCCGACTCCGACTTCGGTAACGTCAACTTCTTCACCGTCTGATATGGCGACGAATTCAACGGAGAGATGCCAAGATTGCGGAAGCCTAGACTCCTGGGTCATACACACAACTCGACTCCGTGGGCAACTCCGCTTCTTCTGCACGCATTGCCTCCTCAAAAACCATCCGGCGTCGTTTTGTCCCTCTTGCTTCGTCTTCTACGATTCTTCTCCGCCTCATCCTTCTCGCCGAATCACCTGCTCTAACGCTAAGTGCCAGTCCTTTACTCACATACAATGCGCAGGCGAAGCGAATTCTCCTCCTTATCTCTGTCCTCCTTGCCGGAACCCTGACTCTTTCTCCTTCTTCCGTCCGATTGTCGGCCCCGACGGTGTTCGCTCCATCGATAAATCTCTCTCCGAAGCGTTTTTCTGCGCCGCTAAAATCGCTGCTTCTTCTATGAACAAGGCTGTCTCCGCCGCGAGATGCGATGCTGAGAGGAGATGCAGAGAAGCTGCATTGGCGAAAAAGAGAGCTCGTGAGGCTCTTGAAGATGTTGTTACGCTTGACTCGAAGGAGAAGACAAGGTCGGTTATTCCTAAGCTTAAAGAAGCTTCCATTGAGATCTCTCGAGATCAGAAACCAAAACTGATTCACGCATCGAATGGCTCTGTGAAAGAGACGGAGAGCTCTGCTACAATCAAGAACAATGGTGGTTCTACAGAGAAACAGAGCACGATAGTGCCAATGGCTAAAGTTAAGCAAGAAGGTGATGTTTCTAGATGAGATCAATGGAGTCAAAAGACAGGTACAAGAACTTTAAGCATTTCGTTTTCTGAGATGGTCTTTTGATGAAAGAAGCTTAGAGCTTGGCTGATTCGGATTCGAGTTTGATGTAGATTATGTAAGTGTTTGATCTCCTTTCAGTGTTTTTTTTGGGTCGTTTACTATATGTGTAGGAATCTGTGAAACTGTGAAGTGTTGATTTCTAAATAATTTCTTCCTCCTATGCATCTTGTGTCTGACAAAAAGCCACTGTCTTGTGATGGATTCATTACTGGATTGGGAAAATTTATAGTCTTTAGTGTTGTGATGTTATTCTTTTTAATGAACCCTGAAATTGTTTAATCAGTTAATCTCATTCTCACACACTTGAAGATATTTTACTTAATAGAAGAAAAAATATGAAGGTTATGAATGAAAATTATGAAATGCATTGATCAGTAAGACAATTTAAAAGGACCAGAAGGCCATAAAGATATGGTCATATAAGACATTTCTCTTTGAGGCTAAGAACAGTGTCTCTAAGGCTTGTTTCTGTAGGAGTAAACTCAATTCCAGACTTATCACTTTCTCTACACTCAATTTGTAAGTCTTTTTAATCATATCAATGTTTTCCCTCCTAAAAAAAAAAGATAAAAAAAAGTGATGTTAGGTTTGTGTAGAATCAACAAATTGATTATGACTTATAAGATAAATGATTAAGAAAAGAAAACTCACTTATCATCAATGCACAAATCAGGAAAGAATTCGCGCAAAACTTTCTCAATGTCATTTGCTGTCACAATCGGACCATCGATGATATATCTTCCATTAGCCGAAGGAGTCTCGAGCGCCTTGACATGAGCTAGAGCAACATCTCTAACGTCCACAAACCTATTGAAAAAGTTCTTACCATTTATAAATTCTACAATCACATCTACTGAGAAATTAAGAGTTGGCTGCAAGATTGGTCCAGTCACAAGCGCTGGATTCATTACTATCAAGTCGATATTGTTGGCCTTGGCAAACCGCACTGCTGCATCTTCGGCCAAAGTCTTAGAAAGTACATACATTAGCTGGATTTGAAAATATCAAAAAGGTAAGAAATAATGCAAGTTCTCATTAACTCATTGATCATGTGTCAAAACACACAATGTAAAGACCTTTTCCTCCTCACAAAAACTTGGATCAGAGAAGGTGGTTTCGTCTACTAAGTCGTTTGGTCCCAATGGGGACCTCGGAAAAAGAACTGTGGCCATGAACGATGTCACGATGACCCTCTTGACAGAAGACACTTTAGTGCATGTTTTTTAGGACGTTAATAGTGCCCTTGACGGCTGGCTCGATCAGCTCTAGCTGTAAAATTCAGAATAGTTGGTTAAATTCTATGGGTTTTAACTAGAACTAATTGACTATGAGTGGATTTGTCAATATCAATAGGTTCCCTCTAATTTCAAGTGTGGGATTCTCAACAGTAAATCAAGCAAGTAAATTAATAAGGATTGTGTTGGTCTGAACAAAGTGATGTCATTGATGAACCTGTGGATCAGAGACAGTGAGTGTAAGCGGTGAGGCGGTGTGGAAGACAGCATCACATCCATCAATTGCGTGCTCGAAAGAACCTTCTTCTAAAAGATTTGCTTTGAATAACTTGAGCCTTTCTTTTGCGCCTTCAAGTGCAAGAAGGTGATCCGTTTTCTTTTGGTCATCTGGTGAAAAACGCATATATGTCAAAGTACACTTCGAGATAAGATGAGCGTTTCTGCCTTCTTTAGTTCTATTCTTCTTTCACTTCGGTTACAATTTGTAAACATTATAACGCAAGTTACACTCCACCTATTTCTCTATTAGTATATATATCTCCTCCCATTTCCATTTAATTGGTTTAAAAAAAACAGATTTGAAGTTGTAACAACTTGTGTTTTTGGTTTTATACGATTTAGTCTTTGATATGAATCAAGTTTTGAGCTATTTTTATGATTTTTCATTTAATTTGGTTTTATTGGGTTTTGAATATAAATTAAAGAAAATTCAAATAATCTTTCTATCAAATTATAATCTAGTAATTGACCGGAAAAAAAAGACCAAAATAATAACCAAATTTAAGGTTCGATTTTTGCATGCAGCATAATTCCGATGATTCAGATGAGAAAAGAAAGAAAGAGCTAGAGAAGACGAAACAAACTTGGTTCTCGAACCGTGGCATTGACGGTGTAGCCACGGAGGAGCAAAAGCTTAACGATCCAAGACGCTATGTAACCGGATGCTCCGGTGACACAGACCACCTTTTCTCCACCGTTCATCTCTCTTCTCTTTATCGGATTACTATATCATTGGTGTGGTTCGGCTTTTAGTTTTTAAAGTGACGAGAAACAAGTTCAATCCTTTTATATATATAGTTGCAATATTTACACCCAAACTCACCCAACAAGTGTATATACTAAAATCACATAATAGACTCCGCCTTCCAAAACATATCATGTGATTCTGTTTTGGTTTTTTTTTTGTCTCTCTTATATATATGGGAATTGGGAATATGTAACGTAAATAATGCATGTATTCTTTACAGCTTGACTGATTTGCTACGCAAAAAAAAAGTATACGATACATGTATTTTTTACCATTTTACTGATTTGCTATACAAAAAAAATGTATATTACTATATATTGTTGTCACACATCAGTACAAATACAATTCAAGTTATTTTTTATTCTTTACCGAACAATAATCCAAACAAAGCTGTATAACCGAACCAAAACGGTAATAACTCATATGACCGTAATATGCGTAACGATGTTAGTATAGATTACTTATAAG